ATATAAAGTGATATGAAGTTATAATTCAACAGTTAGATTTACAAAATTCACATTCAATATAAAGTTATTGAGCAGTGTAATACTTAGTAAAAGTTACACTAGTATCATTTGAACCCTCCTCGTATATATATATATATATATATATATATATATATATATATATATATAATGTTTCAAATCCAAAAGTTAGTGATCCAACGATTGACTCAACAAGTTCGATCAAATTGAAACAACTTTTTTTTGAAAGCTTGAATTATCAAACTATTGAACTAATCCATTAAGATAGACTATGTTTACACCTATAAATTTTACCCATTCATTAAAATACTTAATTTTTTTTATAAATAGTTAATTTTTTTTTTAGTATAGTTTACCAGTTGAGTTGTTTTTATCTACTTTTAGTTTTACACAACAGTGTATTTGTTGAATTGGGAAAAAATTACAAACCTAGGATCTTAGGTTAGTGGAGTAGTTTATTTAAAAATAATAATAATAATATATAGTCATAAATATTACATCAAAAATGAAAAATACTCATTAGGAATGAAAAATAAATTAAAAAGAAATTAGAATATAAAACTAACCAATAAAAGAAAAAAATTAATAGTAATTAAAAAAATTAGGATAAATAAGTTAAAATTATAAATTTAGAGGAGAAAAAAAAAAAAAAAAAAAAAAAAAAAAAAAAAAAAGCATACTACGTGTGTGAGAATATCTGTCCCTTCTCAAATGGAAAGCAATTTGTACTCCTCGAATAGTGTCTACTTCTCAAATCAAAATTCACACCACCAATCATTCCAATTTAAAATGTCATTGGCAGTTGCAACCAGTTTACGAGTGCGAGGGATTTTTTGATAGTATGAAACATAAAACAAGCATTGGCAAGTTCTTATAGCGTCGTCAGTAAGAAAAACTTAGCGGAAAAAGAAAGACTGCACATGGAAACTTATTCAACATATTTGTGCTGTTCTCTTTACACAAGACATTTTTCCTCTTTGGAAGGTAAAAGTAGTTAATCGATGTACTACAATAAAATGATTGTGAAAACTAAACAAACACAAACAAGAACCAAGAAGAGAAGGTCACATATTTACCAGAGAGCATCTTCTACAAATCTAGACAATAGGCTCATCTTCGAGATAGTTATATTCAAAAGTGAAGTCAGTTTTGATTCTTTGACACCTGAGAAGAATCCAATCAAGGCACAGATGAATAAATATCAGGACAACCAAAAAGTGCAGTGTCAAATAACAAAATTTGAGCAAATATCCAGTTTAATCTTTCAAAGATACGCGTGACATCACATTAATCCTTCATTTATCTTCGGCATCAAAATTCGCCTTCAATGAAAACTAAATGACCATTACTTCGGCCCTAATAAAGGAATCAAATTGATGCCACTATAATGACCAATTTGATGACATAAATTGACATTAAAGGACCAATTAAACATTTTTTTTATTTTAAATAGATGACCAACCTGAATGTATTCAGAAGATGAATATAAATATTTGCTCAGATTTTTAAAGGATCGCAACCTCCATTTTCCTTTCGTATAAAGTGAAACAGTACTATGACTATACATGGAATTATAAATTCAATAAGCTTACCACCCATGCTGCAGATCATCATTTGCAATATGGAAATCAAAGTACACATATGTTCCCTGCTCGTATTCATCTGTTGCAACTTTTGGCTCTTCATGCCGTTGAAACCATGTGTTATATTTCCGGTGATATCTCCATGACTGCTTCTTAAGCTCTTTTGCAGCCATATATTGTTGGTAAGTGTTCTGCAGAAAATAATTTTGTAAGCTTACATGACTGAATGAGAGTAATCTATTCATGCAAAATGTCTGTGTACCTGTTGATAGTAAAATGCAAAGAACAGGGTATCAGTTCCATATGGTTCGAGACCTACTCTCTCCCAAAAGGCAGGATTATTAACAATAGGTGCCTGTACTTGAGGATAACTAGGTGGTGTTATCGTAGGGTGTTTCTGCATAACCAAAAAGAAGAGAGGGGGAAATGGTGTTTTAATTTTATAATAGTATTCAATAAAAATTCAGATTACTAAAACCGAAAATACATACAGGAGTATAGGTCCTAGGACGTTCTGAGTCCTTAGGTTGCGGAAGTTTGAGGTGAGATGCCTCAAGCATCTGCAAATTATATAACTGATCACGAACTCCACCAGAATTAGCGATTGATGCACTAAAGTTGTCACCAGTTCCAAGATCAATAGAACTTCTTCCTATAACACCAAGGTTAGCAGTACGCTGATTTGATTGTAAAGGTTGGCCAGGAGACAAATCAATATCTCTAGAAGTCTGAGCAGGCTCTGGAATAGAAGCAGGTACTCCTACCTACAGCATAAAGGACAAACAGTTGACTTGAATCACACTTGAAAATATTTTATACAAAAAATATACAAAATGCCCATTAGATTCTTCCACACCATGTTTACACATGAATCAAAATACGTATTTTGCTGTCTGCAAAACAGAATAAGTCCTCAGTTTGATTTGACCCAACTCATCTTACTGCTTAAAGAACTATTACTGTCCTGAGTTAGTTTCTAGCTTTTAAGTTTCAAATCAGATGCTATAACTATTTTGTTTTCCTATAATATCAAAATGGAAGGAACAGTAGAATTTTAAATTGGCTAAACCTGTATCTGTATGTGTGGTCTTTGTGTCCTTCAAATATATTTACATATTTTACATATCCTACCTTCTTATGTAGACAATGGTCAGGATTGCTAGTTCTATTTTACTTATGGTCAACTCCTTTTGTCACCTAATCTTTACAGTCAAATTACAGTGGCTGACTCACTGGTTTTTCCAAATTTTGGCCCCAGGGTTTATTGATATAAATCAAATGCATGACACCCAAGTTTAAGCAGAAAACATAGCATGTGGCTATGTGTGTGCCTGTGTGATTATATGCCTCGGCAAATTGTAAACGTATATAAGATAATGTTTCTTAAATAATATAAAAGCCTATGAGTTAGTCAGCATACAGGAGAGTCAACAGCATATGTGGATTTCAACTCATCTTCATTCATGAAATTCTTGCCAATCCCAGTACTAGTAGTAGATTCAGTCCCCGAATCATCAGGAAAAATATGTTGCGGCTCTTCAACCTTAGAATTGCCAAGATCTGCAGAATAAAAAAAAACTGATACTCTCATCTTTCACAATAACACCAACCTTGGTACATATTTATAATCTCAAGTAGATATTATACTCTTAGTATAGTTGCACCTGTATAATTTAAAAATTAGATTCAAAGCCCTACTAATCAAGATGTACATGTTAGGTTTGACTTACCAGAGAACAACCAGTTAGAAAAATAGATTATTCCATGACATTGACATTTAAGGGTTTTTTAATTATTATTTTTACCTTTGGGTTTCTCACATAAAATGAACTCCTGAAAAAATTTACTGTAATGGAATAAATAGCCACATATGTTTAAACAGAATAATCACGTTTTATTTCTTCACAGTAAATATCTCTAACAGGAGTTCCTTTATTCCTAGTTTACATCTTAGAAAAACTAATTGAAATGTCTATAAAAGAATGTAAGAATAGAGAGAGAGACCTGATAAAAGTATTGAAGATCAACTGAAATGTTTGTTATTCATTGATACTGTTAATACAGATATATATAGAGCTCTAATAAGGAGTAACATAACGGTCAAGTTGAATCAGCATATAACTAACCGAGAGCTCATAACAGAGTTACATACACATATATGAGCTATAGCTACTCTATACTCTAACAAAGAAATGCTAGCAAGTAGCAACACACACTTACTCTCCTTTCAAAACACTATTATTAGGTGATTTTCATGTAGATTCAACCTGTTAAGAGAAAAAAGAAAATAGAGGCATGATGATAGGCTGAATCCATGTGTCTAAAGTACAGAATAGAGGTTTATATAAATAGGAAGAATACATTTAAATATTTCATATGCATGATTAGGGGATATCTAATTTCCCTTACATTATATCATACATCCCTATTTAGTAGTATACAATAAATGGGTATATTATTCTATTCTGATTTTCAACACAACTAAAAAGTGGACATGTCTAGTAGGAGATCATGAAACTCACCCAATAATAAAGTGTTGCAAAGAGTATGTCAATAGTATGTTGCTAGGCACTAGTATTGCTCTATTTATATAATACTAGTATTGATCACTAGTATTGCTCAATCCCAAAACCTAGCTCAAAGGGGAGGATTGCCGAAGTCATTATAAGAGGTATTTATCCAATAAACCCCAAACCAATTTGGAATCATGACATACCCCTTCACACCAAGGACTACATATTTGGAGCATTGCAACACTAAAAATCTGCGGGTATTGGGTAGCAGCACATTACATCTTCGATAGGCCCTAATTACATGTCATGATACACCGAGTCTTCCAAATGCAGAAAGGCAAAAGTTATTGGGTGAAAATATTGCAGCCTAAGGGAGCAAAAAATACCCCATGGGAACTGAGAAGCCAGCGATCTGAGGTGACAGAGTAGGTGGAACAAATATGGGCAACATGCACAAGAAAAAGGATGGCTGGAAAAACTCCAGTGAGCAGTTGGACGAGGTAAGGATGAGTCAGAAAGGGTGATAACAGTCAAAAAAGTAATCAGGTGCTGTCATGAACTGATAGGTGCTAATGGAACTGGGAGATAGAGGTGGCTCGTGGCAGCTTTGGCAAACGAAAATCTACAGTTTCAGTGGTAAATTTTTTTGCATAGCCCAACAATAAGAATTCATCATGAAAATAAAGTATACCTCCAAATTTTAGGGAGCTCGAAAACAGAACAATCATTGGGCATGACATAGAGGATGCTGCTGCATTGACATTAAGGTAGAATTAAGAAGATTGGCCTAACTAAACCCTAAAATCTAGCCTATGCACAGGTACTGCTAAATGGACATTGTTACCTACAGAAATATGGATTATTTTTCTCTTAATAATACTTGATACAATAGGGGAAATAAATAGGAAAGGGAAAATAAATATGTACATTAATCTAGACTAAATCAGGGGAATAATTATACCTAGAAATGAAATGATATGGCTAAATAATGATGGAAGCCAAGAATAATACAGATTCTAATTACAATTAATTTTGGTAAGTTGTACACAATCAGAATTAGATTCTAATTGATTTGTTCTATTTTCAACACTCTCCCTCAACCTAGGTGATGTCTATCATACATAGATTGGATCTGATGCTTTCATAAGTGTTCCTTGGCAGAGGCTTACTTAGAATGTCTGTTGTCTGTTTACATGATGGTACATGATCCATATTTATCATTTTGTGATCAGTTTTTTCCTTAATGAAGTGCTGATCAATCTTCACATGTTTTGTCTTGTCATGGTGGACAAGGTTCTTTGCAATACCTATGGCAACACAAAATCCTCATTGTATAATTTATGGGAACTCTAATTTCTTCCAACATCCGTTTAAGTCAAATCCCTTCACAAATGCCTTGTGCCATAGCTCTGAATTCAACTTCTACACTGCTTCTTGCCACTACAAAGGAACAATAGCTTGTAGTAGATTTTCTGTTTGAGGTACATCCTGCTCAATCTGAATCTATGTACGTTTCAATACCTCTGTTTGAGCTTTTCTTGAAGTAGAGTCCCTTACCTGGTGTACCCTTAAGGTATTGAAGGATTCAATTCACAATTTTCATATGGACTTCAGTAGGATTAAACATGCAGCGGCTAGCCAAACTTCAGCAAATTCGATGCCAGGCCTAGTGCGAGTCAGGTAAATTAACCTTCCAACTAGGCTTTGGTACCTATCTTTGTTAGTTGGTGGACTTTTTTCCTCAGAACTACTTCTTTTCGCTAGTTCAATGGGTTGTATTAGCCGCCTTGCATCCAAGCATCCCAATTTCTTGAAGGAGGTCCAAAGTATACTTCCTTTGAGATACATAAATGTCATTCTTTGTCCGAGCAACTTCCATCCCAAGAAAATACTTGAGTTGTCCCAAGTCTTTCACTTCAAATTCCTTAGCCAAGAGCTCCTTTAGGTGTTTGATTTGATCATAATCATCTCCTGTGATAACAATATTATCAACATAGACAATGAATAAAGCTACCTTCCCTTTTATAGAGTGTTTGACAAACATAGTACGGTATGATTGGCATTGATTGAACCCACCTTCGTTGACAACTTGAGTTAAGCTATCAAACCATGCTTTCGAGGATTGCTTGAGGCCTCAGAAGCACAGATACGTATCTGATACGGATACATTCCGATACGTTAGGGATACGTATCTAAATCGTATCTATACTGATCTTGTTAAAAAAAAAAGAAAAAAGAAAAGAAAAAATACTTTACAGATTTGTTGCGATATGTATCCGTTATTCAGAACTCAAGCATAAATAAGCAAGAACACAAAAATTTGAGACGAAGATCCTCAAATGCAATTCCAAAACTTTCATTGTCATTGTTAAAGGCTTCCGCCAGCCATTGATGTGCTAACCAGCTCACAAGGCGAGATCAGGACGTGTTGCAGCGTCGTTAATTAACTAGGCACTAGATCCAATTCAGCAAACAGCCAAACACCAGTGACCAAGGTAAAGAAGTTCATCTCCGACTCCCGTTTTGATTGACAGGCTATTTTTGGCCTTTTGCATATGCGTCTGTTTCTTTTTTTTTTTTACATTTAATTTTATGATTTATTTAAAAAGTTTTTAATTTTGTGTAAAACTGTAAATTAATAATAATTAGAAATTCTTTTTTTTTAATTCTCTTTTAGCATCTCTATAAGGTATAAAAAATTGTAACAAATTTTTAATTTCTAGTTTTTAAACTAACAAAATTCCAATCTCACATAAATGGTTTTTTAAAATTTTAATTATCTTTCTTAATTTTAAATTTTTAATATATACTAATTTAGATGAAATTATAATATTAAAATAAGTTAAATACTTAAATACTCAATATTTATATAACTTCTTTATATTAATATAAAATTATAAATAAAAAATATTTGATAATATTTAATTTATTATTTTAATATTTTTCAAGTTATAATGCCTTTTGTGAAGTTACTTAATATTTTATGATTTATATTTTTATGATTCAGAGTGATTAAAATTTTTAAGTTGTATAATTTATTTAACATTTAACAATTTAACAGATATACTTTCTTTTTTTTTTTGCAGAAGCATAAAAATTATTTATTTATAATGTCAACACCAAATGCTTTTGGTTTTGATTCTAATGTCAATTCTAAATTCCAAGTAAGTTTGTTTCTGCCGATGTTGTACAAGATGATCATACTCCTCTTTGGCGCTATGTTAGCATATTAGATAAAGTTCAGAAGGGAGAGAAAATAAAAGTTCTTATTCGAGAGTTAAAGCTCATTTGTTGAGAATTTATGGAACTGGAATTTCTGTGTGTGCAAGTATAAATGATCAATATTTGGTTGAATTGAAATCAATTGTTGAATTGGCTGAAAATAAAGTGAAACCTAAGCATGTCTCTCATTGCCTACATAGAAAATGCATCTGTGTTCTTTATTGAAAAAGAGAAAAGTTGGTCCTTTGGAGAAAGCATTTAATTTAGAAGATAGAGATAATCTCAAAGCTCTCATTGCTAGAATGTTTTATTCTTCTGGATTGCCCACCTTGCCAAAAATCCATATTATGTGAATTCTTATTCATTTGCTACAAATCACATGCTTAATGGTTTTCTCTCTCCTGAATACAACTATAGGTTCTAAGAACAATATAATCATTCTCCCAAAACAAGCCATACTATACACCCGTTCGAAATCAGGACTAGGATAAATCTTAACATTATGAATCAATTCTACCAAAAACATGAACTATTTAGTGAAGGCACGAGAATGATTTTATACTTTTATAACATCTCTAAATCTTCAACAAATCATATAAGTGAATAAAGTAAGTAACACAATGTACCTACCTGAATCTTTAGAAACAGCTGACAGCAATGATTGTTGGCTAGATGGGGAATGGACAGAATTGGGTGGCTGTGGTAATGAGGTGGAAGCAATGCCACTAAGACCTGGTGACTGGACTCCAAGTCCCACACTAGATTGAGAAGTAACAGAAGAGCCTTGAGCGTTGAACTGCATGTATAGTAAGATTTATGAAAATTATATTTCTGTCATAGAAAGAAAATCCAAACAAGATTGAGAAAAATCAGAGCATAAAAATTAAAACTTCACAAATAACAGCATGTCATGCAAAATATATCTTTTCATTGTAGAGAAAATTCGGGTTAGGTTATGAAGATGTATTTTATCATTCAACAAAATATTTATCTAATAGTCAATGTCAGTCACAGAGAAGATTATACATGTAAGAAAAACAGAAGAGAAATAAAATCCTCTAGTTACTTAAGGCCATGAAAGGCACCAAAGAAAAGAGTAGATTGCATAGATTTTAGCACTGTGAAAAGGAGGAGAGGGAGACCAAGAAGGACCTTGCAGGATATTGTCAAGAGAGATTTCTAAAGCTTTGGTTTTTAGCCATAGTAGTCAATCCCGGATAGCAGAGCGAAGCGACCAACCCCAAAAGTGGGATAGCAGGATTGAAGATAGCAAGATGATTGCTATTCTAATATAATATTTATATATATTAAATAATTAATAACAATATAATAATATAATAAATATATATACATATAAAAGATAAAAAGAAAAGTAATTCTAAATTCATGCATTAATCATTTTTAATAATAAAAGTTCCTAGCACTCAAACAAAACATAACATAAAATGTCTAGAAAACAAAGTGCTAAAGCTCTAGGTAACAAAAAAATAAACATTAAAGGGGCGTTTGGTAGAGGAGAACTTTTTTCATATGATTCCTAGGAATTACAAATCCTAGGAATCATGATTTCTGGAAATAACTAAAATATGTTTGGTTACTCATAAAGGTTCTTCGGAATATGTATATAGGATTCTGGGAATTAAAAATTTTAATATTTGGTTACAATAGTATATTCGTGGATATAAAATACTTTTTATAAAAATATCCTTTATTAAAATAAACTCATTAGATATATTTATTTACTCAAATCATATTACAATATGACGTTAAACTATTTTAAAAAGTTAAAAACTTATAATTAAAAATATTTAAATACAGAATTCAACAAAAGAAATAAAAAAAGAAATATGCTACACAATAATTAAGAATAGAAATATATTATTTCATTTCATTCAAATAAATAAATAGGTGTTAACAAAAATACCATAAAACTATAGAAACAGAGCAGACTTTAATAATATTATTAAAATTGACAAGGTCAAGAAATAATGAAATATAAGAGAGAGAGAGAGAGAGAGAAATAGAGATATGGGGGGAGAGAGAGGAAGAGGGAGAGAGAGGGGGAAAGAGAAATAGGAGAGAGAGGGAGAGGGAGAGAGGAAGAGAGGGGGAGTAGTGAGAGTGTGAGAGAAATTTTCTTTTTTAAAAAGGGATACTATGACTTTCTTATATGCATGAAACTTTCCCCTTAACTTGAGAAAGTAGGATTCCCACCCCCCATGGGAACGTTTTTATTTTAAAGTGGATAAAAATAGTTCTCGGAAAACTATATTCTCAGAAAACATAGAAAATCAAGATTTTCGATTTAAGATTCCTAGAAAAATTAAAACATACCGCATATCAAATGCCTCCTAAAATTCTATCTTTTTCCTTGTCAAGATTAATCGTGTGGGACTGGGACTGGTTCCAGCAGCACCAAAAACCTAAACTCTGATGATTTGGTTGATTAGCATTTGGTTGGGCCATGGTTCTGTTGATTACCAAAGAACAAAAATGCTCAAACAAAAAAAAATGAACAAAAAAAAGAGAGAGAAATAAAAAAAAGGAAAGAAAAAAGAAGAAAATCACAGGAATGTCAGAGAAGAGAAATAAAAAGAAGAAAAAAGATGAATAGAGAAAATAAAGAATATGAACGGAGAAAGAGTCTGAGAAGACGAAAAAAGAGTCTGAGAAGGCAAACAGAGAGAGAGAGCCGGAGAAGATGAACATAGAGAGGGCCAAATTAGACGAACAAGAGTCATCGGAGGGTTAGGGCAATTCGCACTCAATAGAAAAGGAGAAGGGACTTACGGTTTAGGGGAAATTGTGTAGAGGGAGATCCAGATGAAAAGGCAAAAATACCCTCATTTAATACGGTATTTTCTGATTTTTTTAAACCGTTGCTCCATTCCTCTGCAATTTCCGCCGCTATGCTTTTCCGCATTGTGCCCACTCTGACTACTATATTAAACCACTCCACTCCAAGGTCCCTGTAGCGGCACAAAGCCGCTCTGTCACTATTGCGGCCGCTACAGCCGTTATTGACTACTATGTTATTAACCAAGTCAAATGACATCATGTGACCCATGTAGCCGACCTCTCTTAGTGAATAAGAAATTATTGTTGTCGTCGCCAATGGTGATGGTAGTGGTTGCAATTAAGAACATCTCAAAAGGAAAACTCTTAACAAAATGCTATGACTGACAATGCTCAACGGTAGACAAAGTAGGGAAGTCAGGCTTCAAAACAATAGCGAAAGAGTTAAGGTGTGTTTGATTGTGCTAAGAAGCAATAGAATCAACGGATCTAAACTAATGGAAGATGGTCCCATTGAAATGGGTTGAGGAAGAGTGGAAGACCAAAGAAAAATTTGGGATCCTACATTTGCATACCATGACTCTTGCAAATTCTAGATGTATCAAAGTTGCATCATCATCTTTTGAAGCCTCAAATGGAGAAAACGAGAGAAGAGAGCAACTTCGAGTCACTTCTACTAAGGAACAATTGGAGCACTTGTCCTGTTGTACAAGTTCTTTTCAACTAAAATGCCAGTTAATTCATCCTCTTATAGCCTAGAAAGGTATTCCTTTTCTACTACTCTCATTAGTACCATACAAAATTCTTAAGCCCCATGGATCATTGATTTTGGAGCTATTGACTACAAGACAAATTTACATCTTAAGCATGCACCTTCTAATTCTCCTTTCACTCTCCATGCATATAGTGATGTTGACTAGGCATTAGATCTAGATGATAGGTGCTCCACCTCGGGTGCATCTATATTTCTTGGACCAAACCTTATCTCCCGGTGATCCAAGAAAAAAGAAACTGTTGTTGCATGTTCTAGCACTAATGTTGAATATAGAAGTTTAGCTCATGCAGCTACTAAAGTTACTTGGATACAAACTCTACTCTCTAAACTAAAGGTCTCACATTTAACACCCAGTATATTCTACAATAATTTAAGTACTGTGGTGTTAGCTCACAATCCTATTCTTCATGCACGTACAAAACATATGGAGCTGGACTTGTTTTTTGTTCGAAAAGGTCTCCAGCAAATTACTGCAAGTTGTGCATGTTCCTGCCATTGAACAGTGTGCTGATGTTCTAACCAAAGCTTTACCCCACTTGAGCTTGTAGGGGAGTATTAGAGTATATTTTTTTTTACTCTGTAATACTGTTTTTACTTTCTTTATTTATGTTGTACAGCAGTAGTACGATAGGTATATTTTCTTTCTCTGTTATTGTTTAGAGTTAGATGGGCTGCCGATCTTTCTGTTGTAAACTCTATATATATACTCTTTGTAACAATACTCTCGGTGGGAATTATTCATTCTTTGAGAATTACACAAATGAATTTCTATCTTCTCTTTCAAACTTCAATTCGAGAGAACACTAAACTATACTATTGCTGTAAAGTTTAGAAAAATAAACCAGAGTAAAACTATACTCCTCCAATAATATCAAGAGGCATGAAGTGTGTATACAATGAAGAGTGCAAGCAGATACATAAATATAAAAATAAAATAAAATAAAATAACATTAGACTGCATACTCAAGCTAGATAACTCGGATTTCAGTCAATGCAAAAGTTTCAGAAGTCTCCCTTTCCAAATTAGGCTCTAACGTAGTGTAGATGAAATGTTAATTTTCTAACAATAAAATATATTTTTTTTGGAGACGGGAGCAAAAGAGTGTCATGAATAGGGCTTTTGGCTCACAATGAATTCTCAATCTTTAAATTCTGGGTAAAAGAAAAAAAGTGCATAGATATGGTACCTGCTGTAAGAGAGGATTTTGTTGCTGAGCAGAAAACTGCTTATGATTCCCTCCTGCAAAAGTTGGCATATTAAGAAGGGAACCTTGACCTTGCTGCTGCACTTGTTGCTGCACTTGTTGATACTTCTGCAAATATCTTTCCCTTTGATCAGGAACTATTTCAGGTCTTGCACGAATCTGCCCCTGAAGTATGAAATGAACAAGTCCCTTCAAATTTGTTTTAACATATAAAATAACAAACTACATTGACAGCATATGTCCCATCCCATGAAATGCTTACTCAGAATGTACTAAGAAGTGTGTTATGCTTCTACTCCAATTCTGCATGCCACAACAGTGCAATTCTATGTAATAAAATTTATAGCTTCACAGACCAAATTATGAAATACATACTTTCATTCAATTCATCGATAAAAAAAAAAGTAGTTATATCAAGTAAAGCTATTTGTAATAGTATAACAAGCCTTAAAACTAATGCTATAAAAAAGCTCTGATATACCCCTCACAACATAGGTATATATATGTACACCCGTGTAATTATTTTCCATGTAAATACACCAAGATACATAATTTTCCTTAAAATTCATTCACATCCAAACAAAGCATAAATAGCAAAAGAAGATTACATCATTCTGGTTCTGGAAGGGGCTTCCAGGTCTCCATTGCATGCCAGGAACAGCAGAAGGGGAGAAAACTCTCCCAGAGACAGTTGCAGCTTCGTTGACATTACTAGAGTCAACTGAAGAAGTTCCATCATTAGCCCTTGCAACCTGAGGCACGATTCTGTTACTTAAGGGGGATACAAGAGGCTGCACCATCCCATTGCTTCCAAGTCGATCGTCAGCTACCAATATGTTTCTCTTGGTTATTTCAGATGCTGAAGGGATTGAACCAACCGGCCCATTGCTGGAAACCATATTGCCAGAAACAAGTGGTATGTTATTTGTTGCTTGATTTGATAGGCTGTTTCTGCTGATGTTCCTTACAAGTGCAACATCAGAAAGCGATGGAGATGGTCTTTGGCCAGGGAAACTAATATCTTCCTCCTTCACAGTGCTAGAATGATTTACAAAAGATGAAGCACTGACAACACTGTTAATCTCCAAGGAGCTCCGAACAGAATTTGAACCAGGCATGACTGTTACAATAGCTGGTGCACTCGACAAGTTAGGCACTGGAACATTCATAGAAACAGGAGAAGCAGGATTCCCTGTTGGTGTTGTAGTAGTAGGACTAACTACACTACTTTTAGGAGGTGGAGTTCTTGCACCAATATCAGAATTGCTATCCTGGGATGCAGTATCATCAGCTTGCTCCTGGAAAGAAGCATTTGGTGATTAGAAATCAGAGTTGCCCGGAGAGGAAGCAATCAACAATAAATGGCATCTAACAAGGATATAGAACTTTCTGCATTAACTGGTAGTTCAACCACATGCACTAGGTGGAACTGCAATCATGATCCCGTACTGTACTACTATTCTTAAAAAGACTCCATTACAAAAATGTTAAAAAATAGTTTAAATTGGATTAACTGGGGCCATATATATAAACATAACATTGTTAATTATGGCTAAAACTACTATTTTCAGTGCTTACTTCATTTCATCCATATGTGATCTTTTAATTATTTTTCTTAAAGCTATTAATCAATTTTTTATGATATCTCACGAAGTGATGCCACTTACTTGAAGTTATCAAATTTAACAATGAAAAATCAAAATTCCCGTAAACTTGGAGTTGAATACCTATATCTTACCTAAAACTTATCAAAACCTGTCCAACATTATTTATATCATTGAAAACCGTCAAAAAAACAATAAGAAAGGCAAAGTAAACCTCCTGTATGCAACAAAATATGTCCTTCAGGCACATCATTTTCATAAATGAAAAAATATCCCACTGAAGATTTCTGAAAAAAGAAAATCCCTACTTTTAAATAAAATGACTCATAAGAACTTTTTCAGCTCATAGAAACAAGAATTAAGGAATACACACAGATGTTTGTGATGCTGAAGCTGATGCTGCCACAGAAGGCTTCAAGCTAAGAACAGGTGCAACCTGCCAAAATAGAAAATAAGTTAGGAGCTCTATACATAGAAAAATTCTAATTCTAATATATTACCCCTTCCATTTCCTAAATCTTGAGTCCTTTAAGGATGAATACACATGGATTAAAAAATATTTAATAGATATAAATTTGGACTAAAAAGCCCTTATTTAATACCGCATTATCTCAACTCCATTATCTTGTTTTTGTAAAAATCAAGTGAATAGTTAATGAATAGTGTCTATTAAACCGGTATAAATGAGAAAAAAGCATTAATTAGATTTTGAAATTCTAAAACGTCAATTGCTTTGGGACAAAAAAAGAAGGCTGAAAGGAGTAAAGATTTAGGATGGAGGGAGTTACAAAAAGGAAATGTCAGCAAAAGAATATGGAGCAACAAGTAGATTGGAATCTGCAGGCACAATAAAGATGCCCAGAGAGAAAAGGCAATAAATTAAGTTTGAAAAGAGAACATTCTTGCAACCATTCATAGTTATCAATCCCAAATAACAACAAGGAGCAGTAGTATAGAAAACAGAAAGACGACCACTACTCTGAAGTTTATAGAATAGATATTAGGTACAAATAAAATAATTTATATTATACCTATGTAAATGCTAAAAAAAATTACCCAAAATAAAGGCATATTGATACTTAATTATCAAAAGTCATAATTATAAGCTACCTAACATAAAAGTGAACAACAAAAAAGGTCAAGTAACATTAAAAACAATATAGCATGTAAGAGCAATGTAATCCATTCATCCCAATCCCATAACATAAATCTAATGCACATTAAGATTAACTTATTTTGGGGGGATAATTCCTTTATTTTGCAGTTTCATGACAGAGCTTTTGTAATAAAGAAAGACAATTATTTATCTAAAATTAAGCTAGAAAACATGCAACTACAAATGCATCAGTATGTGTTAGTGTGCATAGCTGTGCACCTTTCTGTGTTTACAACGGAGCAATAATCATTAAATAAATACCTTAGCAGGACCAGGGGGAATTGTAACGATATCTTCAAGTGACTCCACCTTGTCTAAGGGTAATGAACTATATAGGTCATCAACATCACTAAATTCTTCGAAGTCCTCCTGTAAAATAAAATGAAAAATAAGAAAGACAGAAAATTAATACCAATTCATAAATTTTGCACAGCATAAAACTCTAACTCTGGAAAGATTATACAAAGGGTAGATATATACGTTTTCTCAGTGATAAGATTTATTTTTTAAAAGAGGGATGGCAAGTGTACAAGCTCTACAAGACAAACCTGATTACGCTCTACATAGTCATCCAGGAAATCTTTTACATCATTAACCTGTTCTGGACTTAGTTCATCATTATCTAGTAGCCTCAAGATAAATTCACATTTCTTTATATGAGCCTTGTGTCGAGTAATTGATGTCTCTAGATGTGTCTGACAAACAAAAATAAAGATTTGAATAGCCATGACTCCAATAAATCAACAGTCCCATAAATTGTATTTCCTTTACTACATACCAATCTGGGTGGCCTGTTCTTTCCTTTCTTTACAGAAAGTCCTTCAAGTTCAGCTTCAAAGCTATCAATCTGAGATTCTAACTCCCCAACCTACTCAAAGATTTAAAATAACATTTTCCAAAGAGAAAAATATAACTACACAATTTGTACAAAATATAACCTTCTAAATAACACATAAATACAGACACTCCAACATTAACCATGAGGTACAAAGCAAACATGGCTGTTCATCTGCCTAACACTATGAAGTTACATTAAGGCATACAAGATATTAATGCAATAAGTAACAGCTATAATTTGATCACAACTGTTGAGATCCCCAAGTCAACTACAGGTACCAAAGTAGAATTTATTAAGGCTTGAGCAGTCCTCGTCTAATGAGCTAATTTTGGAAATTGGAATTGAATAAGACTCAACCGGAATTCAAGATGGTACCAAAGCCCGTGATAGATTAGATATTGAGCCATCTTCAACCATCCAAAAAATATACTTGGCCCCACAACTTTCTGAATGCAATATAAAAACAGTCAGTCCTACAATCTCCATACTCCATATGTCAAGTCAATTAGAAATATAGCCAAAGTAGAGCTTATAAAGGCTTAGGCAATATTTATCTGATGAGCTAACTTTTGGGGTAGAGTTAGGCCTAGTTCAAATTGAAGAGCCAATGATGCATTTGATATTGGACCACCTTCAACTCAAAAAAAAATAGGCCCCATAGATTTCCTAGTAAAATCAACCTAACACTTGCAGCTTTCCTAGTAAGGGTGGGTTTGAGAGGTATGTGTTGATACTTGAGTTTCCACATTGTCTACACATATAGCCAAAGTAGAGCTTATAAAGGCTTGGGTAATTCTCACCTTGTGAGCTAGCTTTCAAGTGGAGTTAGGCTTTGTTCCAGTATATCCAAAAGTCTCACATAGCTTAAGAGTCGAGATCAAACATAGTTTATAAGCACCCTCCCCTCCTAATTGACTAAAGTGTCTTTTCAAGGACAAAATCATGACACTACAACGAGTATCAAGTAGACAATACCTCGAATGCAATAACCTTAACGATGTCAATGAACTTGAGGTCAGAACATTGACACTAAAAAGAGGGTTTAAGTCAATCTTGCTCCTTAGCCTCAACTAGGGGACTTATTCTAATATATCCAAAAGTCTCTCATCACTTAAGAGTTATGGTTAAGGGTAGTTTACAAAAAATTTCCTCTCCTTAACCTACCAAGATGCCTTTTCAAAAAACAAAAATGTGACGGTCCAACAAGCGCCAAAGATAACAATACCTCAAATGCGGTAATCTTAACGATGTCAATGGATTTGAGGTTGGAATAGGCTTCAACCCAAATTCAATAACAACAAAAGGAAAAAACAAAAGTTATTCATAGCAATTGATTTCATACCACATTGTTCAACCAATCCCTTGTCTCTGATTTAGCCTTCTCTCTAGGATCCTGTCACAAAGCATTGAGAATGAGATACTCTTCATCCCCTAAAGATACAAGCATAATCATAATACACCTAGAAAGGTCCAAAAAAGAAAATAAAAACAAGCATATTCCCCCCAGGTCAAAGACGCACAGTTTTAGGCTGTTGCCCCAAGCCTTCTTTGGAGAATGCTTTTGTCTTTGTCTCCTTCTCACAAATCTTGAATCTTTCCATTTCACGCTCAATAAGTTTGCGGGCATCCACTAGAGCCTGCTCATACGAGGCACTAACCTATGTCATGATGTGTTAAAAGACACAACAAAGTTAAACTCAAAACCAAGTTAAAAATTCAAAAATTAATATAAGAACATTTCATATCGCACAGTATCACTCAAGTCAACCAAACAATACCATCTAAGTACAACCAGAAAGAAAAGCACAATATTCAACATATGAACAGACAGGACAAAACATAGTAGCCAACATGATTCCACTAAATTCATACTAAAATATGCTCTCATTAATACTGATTACTTGCCATTCAGTCAAAGAGAACAAGAAACAATCTGCTCCTTGTTAACCAGACAATACATAATTAAAATATAGGATAAGGCTTAAAGTGCAGTTTCTTAGGTGCTTTCAATGTTGTTTTCTAATCAAAATTGGATTTCACCTCAATAACCAGTGTCAACCTTTATTGTGAAGGTTACCTAGGTGAAACTTCAATTTTAATTGGATAATGGGATCAAAAGTATTTTAGTAACTACACCCAGGTTCTGTCCTAAAATGTTTTCATGGAAACACATCCATTCATCCATAATTTATGAGGTTTGCCCTACACATTTACAGCTCATTTCAAAAGCCAACACTCCCCACACACACACAAATGAAAGGTTAGAAATACCAAAACTGCAACATGTAACATTCTGGAGATGTTATCAAAAGAAAATGTAGAATTTCCAATTTTTATTTTGCTTCAAATTACTGAAAAGCACACAATGAACTCTAACATGACCCTCCAAAACCATCAAATAATTTGCATGCCTTGTACTATACAACAACACCAGCCAAAGAATTTTCCTACTAGATGGGATCAGTTACTCATAAGTTCAGTCAAAAACCAACTCTCCACAGAGGTCATATAAATCTAACACTTCTTTAACAGTTTTCCCTAGATATTTTTTTCTTAGTCTTCCTCCACCTCTATTTATTGGTTTATCCTTCATTTGTTCAAACTCTTATAATGGTCTTGTTCTCACACTTCTCACATGAGCAAACAGTTACATATAAAACTATTCATCAGCAAAAACCTAACAGGTTAAGAATTTTGAAGAGTTAATTCCTAATATGGTTTCAGAGCCTCTACAATCAAATAAAACTATTATTCCAAATGGATGTTTCAGTGGAAAGTAACGGCCTGTGTTTTTCACCCTAGAAATCAATTCCCCCACACTGTGCCATTATTCAAAACATGTGTTTGGTTTCACAGTGGACAACACTAGAATTGATTTTGCTTCCACTTCAACGTAACTTTAGTAAAAATATAGATATTCAGTTATTATTAGGTAAAATTGATTTTGTCTCCAAACCTCAGTTTGACTAGCAGTAATAATAAAACATAGCTTTTGCATCAGAGTTAAAAAAAATTATACTGTTTTATATGAAACTTACTGTCAACTGTCAAGGTAAAGCATCCAAACGTAAATTCTTTCAAAATCAATTTTATCCAAAACTAATTTTACAAAACCAATTTCATTCAAAATCGGCTCTGCAAACGCTCATCCATACACACACAAAACCAATTCTACCAAACTTTAAAACAAACGGACACTACCTTAGGCATATTATCCAATAAACATTCCAATTACTTTCACTCCTTAAAAAGCCGGTTCATGACACAAATTATCACAAATACAATTCAATGTCTCAAATCATCAAACAACCATACAACACAACACAATTTGACATTCCACGTGCTCGGTTCAACTCATGTCAAGAAAGAAAGCAATTACAATAAGCATCAGAAAAACTGAGAGAAGAAAGATGAAGGAAGTTTCACCTTCTTGTCTTTGAATTCAGCGGACTATAATATAATATAATTTGACATTGCAGGCGTTAGGTTCAACACTTATGTCAAGAAAGAAAGAGAGGGAGAAATTACAATAAGCAGTTGAAGATTGAAAGAAGAAAGAAAAAGGAACTTTCACCTTCTTGTCTTTGATCTCACTGGACTGAATCCAAGTCTTAATCTGGTCCCTATACCTCTGCAGCTTCTTAATCTCCTTCTTCAGGTCTGCCTCGAACTTCTCCTTCTGGTTCGCATTGTCCGTGTCGTAAACCTAACGCACCACCGCCACGTAGCAATCGGAAACGCAACGAAACGAAATCAAAATCGAAATTCATGAAAATGAAGAAGAAGAAGAAGAAGGAGTTACCTTGTTCCAGATGCTATCGAAGACATCGACGCCTTCCTGAACCTTCTTAAGAACACGATCAATTTCGCCCTGAAGTTTCCGACTCGCTCCCATTTCCGACGATTCAACTCATCCAACTCGGTTGGGGCTCAATCACGTGTTTAAATATGAATCATCGATTCTGCGTTCGTTCAACCTCTATCCATCTTTTATTTAACCAGCGTGCCTGCATTGTGTTAGAAAAAAAAATGAAAAATTATTCATAAAAAAATAATTATTAAAAATAAATAAAAGATAAAATAATTTTAATAAAAATAAAATAATAAAAATATACTAATGTAATTGATATTATGATTAATTTATTAGTTTTAAGTTTTTAAATTTAATAAAAAAATATTTTTTCTAATTTTTTTAAAATAAAAGGGTATAATAATTTAAAAATTGTGGAGATCAAGGAAATTAATAAAAAATATATTTCCGTATAGATTATTTCTTAAGCAGTTTTTTTTCCTATTCGTCTTAGCGAGAGTGAGACCCACCCTTTTCATATAAAAGTCGTTGTTATGACTTATGAGTGGGTATGTTGTTATTTATCGACTACCGTTATTTAATAACAGATGTCCTCCGTATATTTTTAAATAAATAAAAATAAAATTAAGTACTTTATATTTTTGTATATTTTAAAACGAATGGAAATGAGACTAATTAAATTTAAATAATAGTTAGTAATTAATAATCAAATGTAGTTTTTAAATAATTATAAAAGATAAAATGATATATAATATAGAAATTATAAAAACAAAATAGTTAAAAATTGCATATATCAAAATGAGGTATTTTATTTATTATTAATTAGTGAAAAAGTGGAGTTTTTTACTCAAATAATATTATTTCAAAAAATATTTACCCAAATAGCAACCGTGTAAATTTATTTTTCCAACTAGCACTATTTATTGTTCACGTTTCAGAACGGGTGTTCTAATTCCAAAACGGGTCGTTCCAAATAAAAAAAGAACACATGACGAATGGATCAGAACGGGCCGTTCCGGATTCAAAAACTGCACATAAAAAGTGGAAGCAGAATGGGTCGTTCTAAATCCATAACGAGTTGTTCTAGCCTACAGATTCGGGCTTTTTTTTTTCTTTTTCCGATTTTCACTTATCAATTACTAAAACTCAGAGACTACCATCAAGTGATTAAATTTATTAAATATTAACATTATAAATATAACTAAATAAATTTATTAAAATTCAATACAACAAAGATCAGTGGTGGCAGAAACTGATTATGTTGTTCTATAATGTCCATATCTGTTTCAATCCTGGTAGACTTTGGCCACCCTTGAAAGTTCTCTTGAATTCTGGATTTGGCCACAAAGTTGGACCAGTGTAAGTAAGCCAATAATCTTCATGTCGGAGCTCTCCAAACTGTCCTTCGTATACTTTTGCAACTTATTGTAAGGTATATATGAGAGATATGTAAGTTTGATAGTTGTGATGTACATGTATGCATGAAGCGAGTACATGCGAGCAAGGGATATGAACTTTTTGAAACTTGCCGCAATCACACCACATTACATTTAGTCTTACTGTAAATCTCACAGTGAATCATGCGAGCAAAGAATATGAACTTTCTAAAACTTGTTGCAATCATACTACATTTCATTTAGCCTTATTGTAAATTTTTCAGTGGGTCAAACTTCTCTCGGATGTTGCATTTCTTCCAACTTTGTGGCCAAATCTAGAACGCAAAAGAACTTTCAAGGGTCGATCAAAGTCCAGCAGGATTAGAACAGAGATGGACATTAGAAAACAACATAATCATGTAAAAAAATTATTCCTATTGTCACACTCTTGGTCACGCCTTACTGTAAATCTCCCAACAGGTCATGCCAGCAAGGGATATGAACTTTCTGAAACTTGCTGCAATTATACCACATTTCATTTAGCCTTATTGTAAATTTCTCAGCGGGTCAAACTTCTCTCGGATGTTGTGTTTCTTCCAACTTTGTGGCCAAATCTAGAACGCAAAAGAACTTTCAAAAGTCAGCCAAAGTCCAACAGGATTAGTAAAAAATTGTTCCTATTGTCACACTCCTGGTCACGCCACCATTGATCTTTATTTTTGTAATAAATTTTAATAAATTTATTTAGTTATATTTATAATGTTAATATTCAATAAATTTAATCACTTGATGGTAGTCTCTGAGTTTTGGTAATTGATAAGTGAAAATCGGGAAAAAAAAACCTGAATCTGTAAGCCAGAACGGCCCGTTCCAGATTCAAAACGACCCGTTCTGGTTCCACTTTTTATGTGCATTTTTTGAATCTGGAACGGTCCATTCTGATTCATTTGTCATGTGTTATTTTTTAATCTGGAACAGTCCGTTCTGGAATCAAAACGGCCCATTCTGGAACTTGAACAATAAATAGTGCTAGTCTGGAAAACAAATTTACACAGTTTCTATTTGGGTAAATATTTTTTATAATAGTATTATTTGAGTAAAAAAACTCGAAAAAGTGACTAAGCCTTTGTTTTATGAAAAAGAGATTATTTAAAAGAGTGAAATAATCGAGTAAATTAGTTAAGAGGATAAAAGTTTTCAAAAAATAATGTGAAATCAAATTAAGGTATCTTTTTTATTATTGTTCATGGAAATAGGTGTATTGATAACTTTTTTGTAAAAATTTTATTTGCAAAAATTATTTATTTATTTTAAATATGATATGATACTATGATTATAATTTTAATGGACACATTTTTTTTCAAGTAACTATAGTATTAATACAAAATATCTATAGTTAAAAATATAAGGTAGATTCGTAGATATTTCTCTTTTAATATAATTTATTTTATATTTAAGGTCAAGATTCATAATTATTTATTAAAATGTAAAATATATAGTAATAAATTAATAAATTCATCTATATAATTTGTAGTTATATATTTTGCATTAAAAGTATGAACAAATATTTAAAAATACTTAAATACTTGTCATTTAGAAAAAAAATACAAAATATGAAATAATTGAAATTAAAAAAATAATTAAATAATAAAAA